ATTATTGAAATCAATTTAATTCAATATCATATAACAATTCTCTAATCAATTATAAACTAATCAATATAAATTATATTACAGGCGGTGAGTATTTGGATTTATAATTATTGAAATCAATTTAATTCAATATCATATAACAATTCTCTAATCAATTATAAACTAATCAATATAAATTATATTGTAGAAAGTGAGTATTTAGATTCATAATTATTAAAATCAATTTAATTCAATATCATATAACAATTCTCTAATCAAATATAAATTATATTATAGGTGAGTATTTAGATTCATAATTATTAAATTAATACACTAGTTGAAATATCATAAATACTACATCTATCTGGTACCCGATAGGTGTAGTATTTATATAATTTCGACCAGTGATATTTCCATATTATGTAAAAATTCTTTAATTAATTATCAATAATATTTTTTAGAAAGTGTGAGGAATGTCATCAAGATTATTCTGAAAGAAACTGGTGTTATCCATGTAATGTCAACCGATTTCAAAATGAATTTGATAAATGGACTAGTGAAAATAAAGAAATTGATAAATTCATTCAACAAATACAACTAAATGCAAAAAAGTATCAAGAAATAATTGAGTGGATTCCATTTGACAGACTTGAGAATGTCACATACCTTGCAAAAGGGGGTTTTGGCACAGTATACAAAGCAAAATGGCTTGATGGATTTATTTATTCTTGGAATTATAATTTAGAAAATTGGAACAGGTTTCAGGAAAAATATGTTTGCTTAAAAAGTTATGGTAACTCAACAAATAAAATTGATTTTTTGCAAGAGGTAAATATTTCATTATTTAATTTTCATTATTTTAAATATTTAACAATTATATTTTATGTTAATATTTTAGATTAAAAATCAACTTAAGTTTCGAGGTAAAAAGGCAATTTCAATATATGGCATCACCAAAAATCCAACAAAAAATGAATATTTGATAGTTATGAAGTATGCAGCATATGGTAGTCTTCGGGAGCTGTTAAATCAAAAATTTAAAGAATTAACTTGGAGAAAAAAATATGAAATTTTATCAACTATTGTAAATGGACTTACAAATATTCATGAAATGGACTTAATGCATAAAGATTTTCATTCTGGTAATATAGTTAATCAAACTTTAACTGTAAGTTTCATTACTGATTTTGGACTGTGTAAACCAGTTACAGAAAATAATCCAGAAGAAATTTATGGTGTAATTCCATTCATGGCACCTGAGACATTGAGTAGAGGAGAATACACTCAGGCATCTGACATTTATTCTTTTGGTATGGTTATGTTAGAAGTTCTAACTAGTTATCCACCATATTATAATATTTCACATAATGAAAATCTTATAATGGACATTTGCAAAGGGCTTAAACCCGAGATTAAGTGTGAAATTCCACAATTTCTCAAAGAAATAATGGAAAAATGCTGGAATTTTGAACCTTTCAATCGTCCAATTGCTATAGAATTGAAATTTGAATTTGATAAATATCTTTCTTGGGATAATGAAATGAGAAAACAAGTAAACAAAGAAGTTAAAGTAGCAAATAAATCAAACAAGAATTTTATTCAATATGATCCTAATGAAATGCATCCTGAGGCAATATATACAAGTAGACTCATAACAATGCCTGGACTTATACCAATGCCTGAATGTGATACATTTAGTAAGTATATTTATTTAATTTTTTTTTTTAGAAAAAAAAGAATTTTATATTTAATTATTTATTTAGATTCAAGACAGCAATTTCTTTCAATTCCTGATAATATAATTGGTAAATTTATTTCTTTAATTATTTTTTCTGATATATTTAGCTTATTAACAATATTTAAATTTGTATAGTTGATGAGGAAAATAAAACTCAAGAAATGGAATGTAAATTTAATTTATTGGGAATTAATTGAATAATTTGTTTATAATTTTTATAATTAAATATTTATCTTTTTAGTTTTAAATATACTATATTTTATTGATATTGTTATATATAAAAAATTGGATCTGTAGTGCATATATGTTGGGTGTTTTTTTTTTGTAAAAAGTCTGGTAAATTTTCCATAAATAAGGGACATATAGTTTATTAAATAACTTATTCCAATCACCAATTGATTTATTTAATAAATTTAATATAAATCTTTTGCCAGTTGTTTTTCCTTAGGTAAGGGTGCTTATGTATGGGATTCCGAAGGAAAAAAATATATGGATTTCTTATGTGCCTATTCTGCTGTGAATCAAGGCCACTGTCATCCAAAAATTGTAAAAGCTTTATGTGATCAAGCACAAAACTTTGAGTTCTAGAGCTCTTTATAATGATGTTTTAGTGTTTATGCTATGTGACTGAGGTATATTAATTTTATTTATTAATTAATTTATTTTATTTATTAACTTTATTTTATTCATTATTCATTTATTAATTAAGTTGTTTATTTTCTTTATTAATTTATTTATTTGTTTATTTTTATTCAGTATTTTAACTATGACATGGTTTTACCCATGAATGCGGGGCAAAGCGGCCCGCTACCTTAAAAAGGAATTCCGGAAAACATGGCAATAGTACTACGAATACTTATTATTATAAATTATTGATAATCTTCATAAAATAATTGGTGGAAAAAGTAAATCGAATACGTAATTTTTAAGGAAGTTGATTTTTTCTATTTAATTATGTTTTTAAAATATTATTTATTTGCAAATAAAGATTTAAGTAATAATTAATTTCTTTAATAGTGTGTGTATGTAATGTAAGATACATAATTAATTATAATTAATTTTAATATAATTAATTTTAAATATAATTAATTAATTTTAATATAATTAATTTTAAATATAATTAATTAATTTTAATATAATTAATTTTATTAATCTTCAATTAAACTATCCCAAGAATATTCGGTTGCTACACTGTAACCATTCTCATCTTTATGAACTCTAACGTATGTATCTGAAAACTCTGTTTGTCCAAGTAATTTCGAAAATTTTTCATCGTGAGTGATGACGATCAATTGAAAATTTTGTTGTCCTCTACGAGATTCAAGTATAGTTCGCAAACTACTTGCCAACTTTTCTATATGTTTTTCGTCAAGATTTGTAGTTGGTTCATCAAGAACAAAAACACCACAATTAAGGCAAAATGTTTCTGCTAATGCTAATCGAATTATAATTGATGCTAAATTTTTTTGACCCGCACTACATCTTCCTCGCATATCCATATGAATTCCATTTTTCACCATAACAACTTTATAATTATAAGATTGATTGGATCTAATTCCTTCCGTATCTGATTTAATTTCGATATAATCAATATCAGGTCCTCCATATGTTTTAATCCATAATTCGGCAATTATTTTATTAATTTCTGACATCTTTAATTTATGATATCGCACAATGGCATTATCAAGTGCTTTACCATATCTTTCGAGATCTTTTATACCCATTTCATTAGTTTTAACTTCAATAAATTTTTCCTTATATTTTTCTCTAGCATTTTTATATTCTTTATTTAATTCTTGAGTTGCTCTTCTAATAGTCTCTTCCAATTGTTTAAGTTCCCCATCTAATCTTGCTCTCTCGGATAATACATTTGATTGCATTTTTTGTAATTCATCCAATCGTTCTTTATAATTAGATGATGATCCTAAGGATATAATTTTCTGATTATATTCATTTATTCGTGTATTAATCTCTTTAATTCTATTCTGACATTGTCTATATTTGAGATTATCAGCAATATTTCTTTCTGTATCTCGAATTTCCGATGCTTCTTTCTCCATATTTTGCAATTGTTTATCTAAATTTTCAATATATGTTTTTTTTGTGATCATTTGTTGTTTAATATTTTCTATCTTCTCTATACAAGTGGCTAATTTTTTATCTCCAAAACTAGAATTATATTTCTCAATAGATCTTTCTATTTCAAGAAATTGTTCATATGATTTTTTTATTTCATTTAAATCTTGCATTAAAGAATTTTCCTTCTCAATTTTTTGTCGCCGAAATTCTTTTAATTCACTATCAACTTCCCGAATCGTAGGAGTCAATTTGGATATTTGCTCATCCAAATTTTTAATTGAACTCTCTTGAGACTTTATCTCATCAGTTAATTCATCAATATCATTTTGTATACGTGTAAATTTTTCCAGGCTATTTTTTTGTTCTTGTAATCGAAAACGTAATTGATGAACTTTCTCTTGACGCTTTGAACGTTCAAGTGCTCGTGTTTCTTTAAGTTTATTGAAATTTTCGATTTCTATCCTAATTCTTTTCGCTTCAGCTTGAAACACATCACGTTCAGTTACACATTCTTCTAATGTCTTTGTTGAACCAGAAATGCTTAGTAATTGTTGTAGATTATTAATATCAGCATCAATTTCCATGATTTCTTTATGTAAACGAGTAATTTTCTCCACATCTTTACGTAATATATTCACCTGACTAATCTCGACTTTTATAGCAGCAATATTAACATAAATATCTTCTAAACTTGATTCTGTATTTGTTCTTTTATCTTGTAATTGTTCAATTTGTCTCTCAAGATCTGGTATTTCACTTTGTAACTTTTCAACAGCTATCCGTGCTGGTTGCAGATCTCGAAGATCACTTAGTCGAGTTTCAGTATTAATGATTTCTCGTTCGGTACTAGATTTTTTATCTGGCATTTTATCATTTAAATACTCTTGTAATTTTTGATGAAGTTTATTCAATTCATCCGTATTACTAAAACCTCTATGACATAAAGGACAATTCTGTTTTTTCTGTGAAGTGTTGTAAAATTGTCTATATAAATCAGAATAATTTGTAAAACTTGAAAGTAAATCTCTAAGTTCGGTTAATTCTTCTTCAACTTTTTTTATAATACCTGGAAGGTCTCGATCACCACAAACTGCATTTAATTTTTGACTATATTCTTGACATTCTTTATTTTTTCTTTTACTTTCGGATTGTAACATTTGTAACTTTCCATCAATGGCGGATAATTCACGATTAAATTTTTCACCTTCAGTCTCTGTTAGCTCAAGTTCTTTTTCTTTTTTTTGTAAAGTTTTCAATATGTCTTTTTCAAGAGTATCAATACACATCGGTTTACCTAATACTTCCTTAAACTCATCTTTATGAGAAGTTAATAAAGATTGTAATTGACCAGATTTTTCTGTTCTAGTTGTTCTTTGTAAATCCAATTTAGCTCTCGAACTAGAATCTTGAGTAATGTTTGATATTTCACTATCTATATCATTTATTTTATTTTCTACATTTCTGAGATCATTTTGTTTGGTAAAATAAGTTTTATGAATATTATCATTTTCTATGTTTAATTTTAATGTATTTAAATCTGATTCCTCTTTTATCAATTGATCATTGAGAATATTTATATCGTAATCAGAAGTTTGATAATCTTGAAGATTTTCCATTTCTTTACTTTTCTTTTTTCGTTTAGTATCAATAATAGATCTTGCATTTTGTTTTGTACGATTATGAAAATTGAAATCGGAAGTTAATTGATTTAATCGAGCATTCAATTCGTTTTCTTTTTGTTGGGCTTGATCCCTCTTCGTTTTAAACATATGTTCTTTCTCTTCGATAGTAGTTTTAAGTAATTCCTTAAATTTTGCTATATGTACATCATCCAATAGAGCATTCACGAATAATCGAAATTGATAAGTTCGACTAGTTTCTTTGATTAATACTTCTAATTCTTCAATTCGCTTTTCATTTGTATTCTTTTCAGATTGAAGTTTTCCACTTTCTTCCAGAGTTTTATTGAGTAAATCGCGAAATTTATTATAATCTGATTCTAATTGATTTTTTTGAGCCACGAGATTCTGCCTGTCTCCTTGACGTGAATTCAATCTTTTCATATATTCTTCCTTGATTTTTTGTAATTCTTCATCTGATTCATTTAATTCATTCATATGATTCATTAATTCATCTCTGGTTAATCTTAACATCTCAATTTCTTTCTTTGATACAGTAATTCCCTCGTTAATTTTATCCAATTCTCTTATTGTCTCCAATAGATCTTCAATACCTTTACTATTAATGTTTATTTGTGCATCAAGAGTTTCCATTTTTTGTTTTATACTAACTTCCTTAAGTTGATCATTCTCTAATCTAATTGTGATATTATCGGCTCTCCCCTTTTCTTTTTTACATTGTTCTAACATAATTTTATCTTCTTTAAGAAGTAACATCTTTTTTTTACGTAATTCATTGATATTTCCCAATGCTTTAGCATATTTAGTCGCTGAAAATATTTCATCAAATTTTTTTTTTAATGGAGTAGGTTCAGACAATGGCCAATTGGATTCTTCCTGATGACAAAAAATGACATTATCAAGAATTGGTTTGCTTACACCGAGATTTAAAGGAATTTCGACATCAAGATCACCACAGCGTTTACTGAGGGATGTCATTTCTTGTGTTATTGGATCTGTGACTTTTATCAAACTATCAATAGTTGTAGTTTTAATAGACAAGTTATCTTTTAATTCTGCTTTTAAAGATCTTATAACAACCATTTCTTTATTGTTAACATTGTTAAATTTTAGTTTAACCTGACCTTTGACTTCATTTTCTTCACTTAACTTTGGGTCATAAACAAAACCACCACCACCGCCAACGCGCGAACCCGGTGGTGTTTCCCCAGTAGTCGCATATTTCAAACATTCTATTATTGTTGTTTTTCCTGATCCGTTAGGTCCGACTATTACAGTTAGTGGTGTATGAAATTCGATTACTTCAGAGCTTTTCGGACTATATGAACGAATCCCCAAAATAGCAAGTTTTTCAATGGAAGACATTTTTTTTTTTAAAAAAACAAAACCAAAATGTAATAATAATTTTATTAAATTTATAAACACGTGTCATGTGATTTTACAGTTGTCTGGCAAGGAACGAGATGGACATCAACGAATACTTTTGAATGTCAATCAGAGATTGCCAGTTTTTAATAAAATTAATCTTCGAAAGGTGAATAATGAATCAACATTCATAATTATAAAGAATGTGAATACATTGATCAATTGATGACCAATTCCTTTCGATGCGATAAATGTAATTTTTTAATTATTAAAATATTTTGAATAAGGTTATAGAGAGAGATCATTGATTTCCGAGGATTAACAAAACTTCTCTTTTCAAACATCTTGTTAAAACATAACAAACATATAAATTATTATAGAACATCAATTGTTATTTATTCCTTTTCATCATCTTCATCTTCACCTCCCTTTTCATCTTTCTCTCATTTTCATTATTTTGTATCAATTATTTACCATTTTGACTAAGCCTTCAATTGTTCGAAAGAAGATCTCAAAATATATTGTATTTATATCATTTATTTTTTACTTCTTCACTAATACAATTTTTCCCTTAAAAATGTGAGAACCACTAATGCACATGATGTGATTAAATAAATTGCAAATTATAAATGTAAAGTTTGTCATTAATCTAAATGAATTTGTAAGTAATAATAAACACCAACCTTGTGTTTATTTACAATCATTAAACATTATCATTCCCAAAAAATTCATCATTGGTGATAATTTTATTTGTACGATCAGCTAAAATTAAATTAAATTATTAATTAATAAATAAATTAAATTAAAATAAAAAATTAAAGAAACCATACGTATATATATATATTAAAACACCTTGTGAAGATTTGGTTTCCTGTACAATAGATTTTTTCTTCTTCTTATCCTTCTCTACCTTTAGTAATATTTTAGCTCTAATTTCTTCTCTAGATTGCCTATTCAGAGAATCAAAATCATTTTTTTCCATTGCTTTTTTGATAAGATCTTTAATCTCATTTCTCTCAGCTATCATATTAGGATCATCGCCATTGGAAGTTGGATAAAGTGCCAAATATTTACGACTTTTTGGGAAATGCTTAAAAAATAATAATTATTTGAATTGGTCTTAAATATATAAATGTGTACATATATAAATATAAATAAATATAAATATATATAAATATATATATGAATAAGATAAACCTACGATAATATAGTTTCGATTCACTTGTAAATCAAATAATTTTTTTAAGGTATCATCTTTTTCTTGTTGATCTTTTATTTCTAATAATTGTCTTTCAGTCTTTTTTATTTTTCTATCGGTTTTTACTCTGTCTTTATGAAAAATGAAATATAAATTCTTATAAAATTTTCTATATATATATTTATTTATTTATTTAAATGGTACGAACCAAAATGTTTAACTTTTCGATATTTTGTTGACATTTTATTCTCTTCCGAATCGATCCTTTTCTCTATAAGAATTAAATTATAGGCTTTTAACTTTCTTTCCGAATCAACTTGAATCTTGGCTGTTAAATTTTCCCTCTGTAAAAAAAGCAAATAATATATTTAAAACGTTATTTGGTGAAAATAAAGTAACCGAAATGGAAATATATATATATATATAAAAGATTTAACTAACTCTTAAGGATCTTTCAATATCATGTATTTTCTTTCTTATTGCCGAGATACTCATAGTATCAATTGATACTTTTTTTTTTTGTGTTATTTTACGTCGTGTTGGCGGCATTTTATAATAACTTGTTACAAATCGATATAAATTTTATAGATTTGATTTGTATTGTATTTTGACGGTATGATAATTTGTGTAACAACACGCGTAAATAAAAACTTTGCTTTCTTTCTTTCTTTCTACATGTATAAACGATATTATAACACGAAAGAATGATTAAGAAAAGTTCTTCAAAAAGTCAAACTGAAAACTTTCAGCAAAATTATCGAGCAGGAATAACTGCATTTAAAGAAAATAATTTTGAACGAGCACTTGAGTTTTTTACTAAGGTCAATATTATTATTACTGTTATTAAAAAAATTTGATGTTTAAAAGTTTATATATAAATATATATGCAAATACATATATAAAATATATCTATGAATATATCTATAAATATATCTATTAATATATCTATAAATATATCTATTAATATATCTATCTATTTTATGTATTATTCGACATATTTTTCAGGCGATAAAGTCGAATTCGAAAAGTATTATATTATATGATTGTCGCGCTGTCACCTGTGAAAAACTTGGTCTCATAAATGAAGCTTTACACGATGCCGAGTTTATGATGAAATTGGATAAATCATCACCTAAGGTAATAAACGAAAAGGTCTCAAAAGGACAATTAGAAAGAAATACCTTGTATATTATTCTTTTTGTTTTAATTATAATTTGGTTTTCTTTTTAGGGATATCTTCGTGCCGGAAAATTATACAGGATGCTAAATAATGAAGATAAGGCGCAAGAGGTTTATAGTTTGGGAATAACAAATGTATTGAAAGATGATCTGTTATACAAGGTAAAACGTTAATAATTATAATAATTTTTTTAAAAAAAAAACGAACCAAATAATAATATTATTTATGATTTTAGAAATTACATGAACTTAAGGATAAAAAGCCTCAGGTTAGTTTGTCCAGTTTAGCCCATTATTTTCATTATTTTTTCATTAAAACTAATCCTTTTAATTTTTAAATTAGGCAAAGGGTTCCATTACTAATAAAAAAACATATGACTTGATAGCTTTTTTTCCACCCGAAATTGTCCATGAAATTTTTAATCTTCTACCCTTTGCAAGTATTTGTAAGACATCAGGAGTTTCTAAAACTTGGCGTATATATATTGTATCGTCACCTTTCTTTTATCGTGAATTGAATTTCACAATTGGTCAGCGTTCTTACATTACTGACCAGACTATTCGAACGTATTTGTCACGAGGAAAATCATGTATTAAACATTTGATATGCCGAGGTGCACCGAAACTTACTGATACAACGATGCGATCTCTGAGATCAATATTTGGAATTCGATTACAAGGGATCGAAATAACTGCTAATAGTTCGATCACCAATAATTCTATTATTACTTTCATTCGCACGATTGGAGGACATTTGAAATATATAAACTTTTCAAAAACGCTTATTGCAGACACCGGAGTAAAGGCAATATTAATTACTTGCAACAAATTGGAAACATTGGATCTCTCGCTTTGTGAATATATAACCTCAGCAGCTTTTGATCTTAAACAGGGTCTTAGTCAATGCAAAGCTACTGAACTTTGTAATATCAATTTAAATTTGTCTACCGGGGTCTCTGAAAGGACAATTTCTCATTTAATGGAATTATTTCCTAAACTTTCAAGTCTTCATTTACAAGGACAAGGGGCAATTATGACAACTCGATCAATAGCAAATTTAATCAAATTTCCAAATTTAAAATCACTTCAATTAAAAAATATTATAAATAATCGAGATTTATCAATAGAAAATATATTTAGTAAATTAACTGATTCCTGTCCATCACTTTGTGAATTTACATTACAGGATAGTTCATGCTTAACAGATAATTGTATTCAACATTTGGTAATGTCTTGTAATTTGGAAGTTTTGGATCTTAATGGAAGTATTTCATTAACTGACGTAACAATGAATAATATTGGAATCTATTGTAAAAAATTGAAAATTTTAAGAATTGGGAAATCTCCCGGAATAACGGATGAAGGGGTTTCTTTATTATTTAAATCAAGAGAAAATTCACAAGAGGATAATAATAATAATAATAATAATAATAATAATAATGAATTAGAAATTATTGATCTCAAACAAAATTCAAATATCACTGATAATTCTTTAAAAATGATTGCAGATAATTGTAAAAAGGTAAAAGAAATTAATTTTAGTTGGTGTCGAAATATTACTGGATCCGGAATAGCATATTTAATTCAAAAATGTAAAAATTCTTTGAGAAAATTATTTTTAAATGAATGTTCATCTATATCTCCCGATGCTGTATATTATGCTAGAGCTGTTTTGGGAACTTATGAAGGAACTGTTGAATATCAATTTAGTAATTATTAATTAATTAATTAATATTATTTTTATTAATTAATTAAATTATTATTAAAAAATTACAAATTATACAAATTATACAAATTATATAAATTATACAATAAACACTTACGTAATACGCGTGATATTTCTTAAATTTAACTAATGATGTAATTTTAGCGTAATTTTTTACTACGATTGTAATAGATTATAATTCATTTATAATTAATAATAGGAAATGTAATATTACCTATAAAATATATTAGAAATATGTGTGTACCAAATTTAGTGAAGAAAATATGTAGGCGTAATGTAATGTTGGTTTAACATCAGCCCAAATTTTGATCAACCTTTTGATCAACTAATGATCATGTGAAGTTCCAAATTTTTAATTTTTCTTTTTGCTTGTTTAGTTGGTTTCTTAAATTTAAAACTATTTTTAAACAAGAGAACGTAAAAATATGAATGAAGGAATTCAAAATATTTATATTCGAGATACTGAAACTCGGAATACTCCCAAGCCCCATATCGTATATCGTGTCGAAGTGCACGCAGCAGTTAGAACATGGTCAATTTGGAAACGGTACAGTGAATTTGAGGAATTAAATTATAAACTTGTGAGAATTTTTCCACTTAATCCTCCACCTTATGAGATGCCAGTAAAACATTATTTTCAATCTACTTTGGGAAATCCTGCACTGGTTGAAGAAAGGCGTAGAGGATTGGAAGAATTTTTAAGAGGTATTCTTTTTCATAAGGATGATCGTTGGAGGGAAACTGATGAATGGAAAGAATTTTTGGCTATACCCACCGGAAGGCCACTTGATGCTTCAGCCATGTATACTTCAGAAAGTTGGCTTGATGAATGTAATCAAGCACAATCGATAACGAAAGAAATTAGGTCCCTTCTTAATCGTCGGGAAACTCATATCGCTCGTAATGAAGTTCAAGCTTCACATAATTGTGGAGTACAAGCAAAAAAGAATTTAACAACTCTTGGTGTAAGAGTATCTCAACTTGAAAGTGGTTTAATAGGGTTAGCAAAAGGAACTGGAAGAGATAGAAAAACAATGTCAGAAGGTGAATTAAGGAGACGACAAGATATTTTAAATGACCTTAAAGATGAAAAGGATACATTAACCAAACTTGTATTGGCTAATCGTCCGGACATTAGTAAATCTACTACACCTGCTAGTTCTGGTGATCGTGCCTCATTATTTCGACAACCAGTTCAACCTATTTCTAAACGTGTTCCTTTACCTCGATATGCAAATAATGGAATAATTAATGGAGGAATTAATGGAGGAATTAATGGAGGAATTAATGGATCAACGGCTGCGCAAAAGGCTCCCCCATCACGACGAGTTTTTGGTAATACTCGTGCGTTGCCAGCTGAAACAGAATTAACTCGAGGATTGGATAATGAAGGTCTTGTGAATTTACAGAAAACTACCATGGAAGATCAAGAACGTCATGTTGAACAATTTAGTGCCATACTAAGTAGACATAAACAACTTGGTTTAGCAATTGGTCAAGAATTGGAAATTCAAAATCAAATGTTATCAGAATTAGATGAAGGTATTGATCAAACATCATCAAAATTAAGATTTACCACACGAAAAATGAATTCAATTAAATGAATTCAATCAAAATGAAAAAAAAAAAAAGTTTTTTTTAATAATAATTTGATTTTATTTGAAGAAAACTTCAAATTTTCTTTTGTATTGAAATCAAGGTTGAATTTCATTTATTTATTTTTTTTTTATTTATAAATTTTTTTTTTTGAACATTTAAATATTATGAATTTAATGATAGAATTTTTTCAATGGCTAAATTCAATTTGCTATTTTATGTACATTACAAAAATAAATCTATTACAGCTTTATTATTATCTATCAATACACATTATTATTATTATGACTACTTTTCTTTTTATTTGAAATATCTTTGGATTAATAATTTTGATATTAATCGATCTTGTTGATGAATTTTAATGTTCTTTTGTACATATATAACTAATACAACCATCTTGTTGAATTTTTTTGTGAATCTTGTTGAATTCTTGTCAAATTCTTGCTAAATTCAATTTTTTAACAAAATGAATGGTTGTAATGCAAAAAAAATTAACTCATGTCTTCATCTTCAGCTTCCCCTATGTAATCATCTTCAGATTCCCGATCTAATGTTAAATCATCATCTTCATAATCGATTTGTTCTTCATTTCCAGCATTTCCTGAAATAGGTGCTTCTAAACCCTGTGGTGCTATTAATATTGCTGCTGCTGAATTTTTTTGACTATATTCAGGTTTTAAATGATAACAATTATTATAATGTCCCTTCTTATCTAATATTGCAATTTCACTCAATACTTCTTTAAGATAAGACTATATTTAGATTTATTATTAAAAAAATTTTTTGATTATTAAATAAATTCTAATAAATCGCAAACAAAGAATAGGTAATGTCTTTACCTCAGGTTGTTTCGCGTAATCTTTCAAACCTCGAAAAGTCCAATATGCATACTGTGAAAATGCACCGAAAAGTAAGTCCAAAAGTTCGTTTTTTGGCTTACGCGTGGTTTTTTGTTCCATGGTGACTTTCGGTTTCTTTTGCTAAAATAAATAATAATTCAATAATACAAGAGAAAAATAGATTAATAAATAATAATAATAATAAATAATAATAAATAATAATAATAATAATAAATAATAATAATAATAATAAAATATAATGATTCAAAATACTTACAACTAAACCACTGAATTTTGTTATGGCAGCAGATACACCACCAGGTGGAACATATGCCCCACGATTTTCAAATTCTTCAAGAATTCGAATTTTTCTTTCTGGTTTTGAAGCCTTCTTCGTTCGTTCACGCACCTTTTTGCTGTACTCTGTATTAACGCTTGGTTTCATATTGTAATTTGCCTTTACGGTACCCGAAAGGGTGACCGCTATTTTCAAAAAAAAAAAATAATAATAAAAACTTGAACCTAAATTCATAAAGTATTATTTTTAAAAAAAATTATACAAAAAAAAAAATAATAATAATTACAGGTGTCTGCTTTATTATCTTGGCAGAAACAATATGAATCTTGAACTTCTTTCTGTATAATATCAAGTTCATATTCTTTGGGCAAATCTGAATGTCGTTCATTTTCAACCAAGACCAACTTATACTAATATGAAAAATTCAACAGAAATTTAAATGAATTATTTGATTCCACATGAGAAAGGTGTAATAATATATTTTTTTTAAATTACAAACCACGTCAGGACCACTATCAATACGAAAATTTAAATTGTGATAATAATTTTAATTAACAATTTTAGTGAATGACTAAATAAAAATATCTTTAAATCAACGAAACTTACAATGGTTGAGAGTAAACTTGAACTCTCGCGAGTTCAATATTCGGGTCATCCAGATCTTCCCATTTCTCGTATAAAAAGGCTGGTAACTAATGTAATTAAAAGAAACAAAAGTTAATAAAACATATATAAAAGATAAAAAATATTATATTATAAATAAAAATACTTTGACGAGCCACGCTTCCTCTCCGATATCTTTCATGTCAAGATCGCCTTCGTCTTCGTCCATTTCATAAACTTCTTCATTTGGATCGAGGTATTCTTCTTCATTAAGAGTGTCAAAATAAATTTCTTCCATGTTTATTAATTTTTTATAAAAAATTGACTTCGTTATTAAAGTTGGTTTAAATTCCAATTGTTTTTAAATTGTTTTAAATAATGTGTTTACATGTTTGGCCAATCATAGTTTAGATTGTACTTTCTTTGATTTATTACAGGAAAATCAGGTCATATCCCTGGTATTTTTTTATTAATTGCATTGAAAAAAGAGAATGGAGGGTAACTGGTAATAAAAAAAAACGCGAAAGATAAATATATACAAATACATATATATATATTTTTTTTTATTTGAAAAAACAATTCCCCTTATATTCTTTATACTCCTTATATTCAATTTTTTAGGGAAACTTTCTTGGGATATTGTTTAGTCATTGCTTTCTTAGTAATATTGCGATTATTTTACTTTAATCGGATACTTGGCTTTATTTTATCGAAGATTATTAGAATATTTACGTGGCGTCAATATAATGCATATATCGAAATTGGTAATTTGTTTAAATTTGTTAATTTTTTATGTATAATGTATATTTTTTTGAACTATTTTGGATATGATAAAATTGATAAATATTTTTTTTATATAATTAATTAATTTAGAATCGATACAATTTTCGCCACTTGCTGGTAGAATATTATTTAGAAATTTGAAATATCGTTCAATAAATCAATCATTTATAATATTGAAAGGTCATATCACCTGTCAATATTGGTTATGGAACGTTCGAAAAGAAGAACATCATAATGGTGATAATAATAATGATGTTGAAGGTAAAAATTTCAAATTTTGAAATATCCATTATTTATTAATTATTAATTATTTTATTAAAAATTTTTCTCCCGAAAATGATTTTCTTTATGTAGAACCTTGTCGAATAGTTTGTCATCTTGATGGGGTGGAATGGTTCGTTTATAATCGTACTCCTGCTTATGAAGCTCTCAAAACCATTATAGAACGAGTGGGGAAAGAAAAAATGAATTCATCAAATAATAGTTCTGATAATTTATCTAATTTAACAAATATAGAAACTACCGGTAAAAGAAATTTTATTTATTTTATTTTATTTTTTTATTTATTTAAATTATATTAAAAATTATATTAAATATAATAATATAATTGTTTATTAGTTAAAATTGATGATAATAATAATGATAAGAATAATTCTCAAGATTTTCTATTTCGAAAGTTATTGCCAATTCAGATAGATTGTGAACGAGGTGCTTTCATCTTTGGTAATTCAAAAACACCTTCCGTCCTCGTTGCAGAATTTTCTCAAGCTGGTGGAATTTATGCAGCAGTGAAGGTTATTACAAAAAGATTGGATTAGTTAAAAAATTATTTAATAATAATATATAGAAATTTAATTAATTATTTATTATTATAGTCAAGATCAACTTTTGATTATTATAAGAGAGTTTTAGATTTGAAATTTCGAGAACCTAAAATACATTTGAAACCAAATAATGAATGTAGTGAGGATTGTATAGGTATAGTATCTCAAAATGAGGAAGAAAATGGTAATCTAAGGTAAAACAAAAAATTCCTCTATTTTTTTTAAAAATTTTAATTTGTTACTTAAATAACTTCTTAAATAATCTATTATAGTGGTAAATCAAATTTACAATGTTTTATATATATCATATATATATAAATCTCTTTCAGACTTTTATCTTTCTGAAGAAAACAAAAACTCCCCAATTAATTGTATTAATTTCAAAAAGATGCAGGATCAACTGATAAGGATGGTGACATAATATTTGAATATGCAAAGGTTCCAACGATATTGACATGTTTTCTATTGGAAATGACATATTACGTAGATGTTGCCGGTATTTGATAATAATTTTTTTATTAAACCAGGATATAAAAAAATAAAATTTATTTAATAATAATTTATTTAATAATAATTTATTTATTAATAATTTAATTTATTTAATAATATAAAGGTAAAGTTCCATCAGAACCAATTTTGATAACAAATCCTGATGAAATTGAAATAGGAAATGGGGATTTATCACCTGAATGGGGAATAGACCTTGTTTTTGAAAATGTTCAAATAAATTATGGTCCATGGGCAGATCGTCAAAGGTAATTACAGTTCAGTCGGTTAAAATGTATAACAATTTGTATAATGTAAATCGAATGAAAATTGTATTATAATATTGTATTTTTAATTAAAAAGGGTGTTACTTCAGAATTTTTTCTTTCCACCTTTATACCGAAATTCTGAACCAACCAAGATGCTTTGTCCTGGTCAAGATAGGATTCATACCTCTTTAAAACTTCTGTTTCAATTTGCTGGTACAGTTACAATTAACATTCCTACTAGAGAAGCTTCCAAGGTTCATTTCCATATCCATATATATATATATATTATTATTTTTATTTTTATTATTTGATTAAAATCCTAAATTCTAAGAAAAAATCATGACTTAATATATTAATATATTTCAGATGCATTCATTAAGTTTAAATGATGAAAATTATTATTCTGAAGAAGATTCAAACCATAATAATCAAAGGCAACATGGATGGATAGAATTAAAATTGGGAGAAGAATCAACTATTAATATGACATTTCCTATGGTATATACTGATAAGGGATATACCAATAATTTTGAAATAGATTTTGAGAATTTTAAAACTCGAACTAGTGTTAATGATTCAGAAATTTTAAATATTCAACAAGCAAAGGTAATTATTTATATTTAGTCATCAGTAAATTTTATAGGATGTAATATTAACAATATTATATTGTCTCTTTAAACTTACACAAATTTATGCAAATTTATTCAATACTATAAATTTTGTACAAGTTTATACAAATTTATGTTATATTACACCATAAAATTTCCTGATACTATTATTGACTAATTACAATTTTAATTTAATTTAATTTAAATTTTCATTTTAATTCTTTAAACCTATTTCAACTAATTCAAAAAATTTACAATCAAAGATAAAATGTAATTTACCAACTCCTTTAATTTGGAATGGAAGAAGAAAATGGGAATTTGATATTCATTTAACAGATTCAAAAATATTTTTACTCAGAGATCATATTACATTATTTCAAGATTTAACAAAGGATTGGACTGCTGGTCCATCTCAAGATCGATTGCGTTTTGTACCTATGGAATATGAATTTAAACCAAGATTCACTAATTTTGAATTATATCTTTATGTTAATGAACAAAATATCATTAATGAACCAGCTGATATTGATGATAATGGTATGAAAAAATTTATTTTATTATTTTATACCATTTTTTACTTAATATTTCTTACTATTTTATATCATCTTATTATTATTTTTAATTTTTGTTTAGCATTCATTATTATCAAAGGACCAAGAATATGTTCAAATTTGATTATACCTTTTTTATATTATGATCAAGAAATTACAAAAATTGAATTTGATGTAGAAGTCAGTTTGTTTTTTTATATATTTATTTTGCTTTGTTTTATTGCAGAATAAATTGTTCAAAATTATTAAAATTATAAAATGACTTATTCATTTAATTTAATTTTGATTTATTCATTTTAATTTAATTTTATTTATCCAGGTAACAAAAGGAAATGTTTTAATGTCCCCTCATATATCTCAAACACTTGGTGCATTTTTAAATGATGATTGTAAAGATTTTGGTAGAGTTAATAATTTTACACTTTATGGAACATATCAATATTATAATTCTGCAAATCCTAATAATTTAGAATCTCTATCCTTGACTATGAAGGTTTGTATATTACTTAAACTTTATATAATTTATTTAAAAAAATTATTTATTTACTTTAAAATAAATTATATTTATAGGGCAAAGAAGCTAATTTGAAATTATTTGGATTTGTTATCAAATATTCACTTATCTTACAACAAAATTATTTTGGAATTTTTAACAACTTTATGGTTTTGAATGAATATCTTGACAAATATAAATATTCTAACCAAGAAAAAAAAATTATTAATTCTCCAAGTGAGAACAATAAGGTCAGATACATTCATAATATATATTTGTGATAATATATGTGGTATTTGAAAATTATATTTAAATAATAATTATTTTTTATAGGTTGCTTCTGATCCTTTTGAAGTATATTTGACAGTAATTGTTGAGGATGGTACTATATTACTTCCTGAAAATTTATATAATTGTGATCAATCTTCTACAATCCATTTTCATGAGCTTCAAATAGAATTAAGAAATCTAGATTTATATATGGGTATTTTTACTTGATTTTATTCTTAATTTCATCATCATCATTATAATCATAAATTTTCTAAAATTTTATTTCATTTTTCATTTCAGATCTGGATGTGACTGTTAGTCCATTAACCTGGTCACTAAATTCAGAACCAACTACTAGAAGACCCACAATGAAATCAAGAGCAACCAGAGAACCAATTAATTATTTATATATTGAAGGTATTCAAACTTTCCTTAATTTAAATTTTCATAATTTTTGTTTCACTTAAATTTAATTTGATTTAATTTAACTTTAATTAATTTATCTAATTTATTTTACTTAACTTAATTTTCAATTACACATTTTTATAAATTATTTTCATATTTAAATATAGATTTAAATATATATGCACATCGCTTATATGGTCCATTACCATTAACAGCTACTTATGTCTGTAATTGGGATATTAATATTGGAGTCATTTTTGGATCATTGAAACCTTCATTTTTATTGAATGCAACATCAATCGCTAATGCATTCATTTATCAATTCACTGATGATGAGAATGCTTTACCAGCTGAATATGCTGTTCCTACTTATCCAGATGTAACTTTCTTAAATTTTAAAGTGAAAGAAGTTGATATTTCTATTTGGGGACGTGATAGTGGAACACAAATTCTTCTCAAAGAAGGATTAAGTATAAAATTTGACGATCTAGCTAATGAAAAGTTCAACTTAAAAGTTGTTATTAATTTACCAGATATAATTATTAGAAGTTTGTTATTGTCTTCAATTAGTTCAAGCAATTCGGATTTTATAAATTTTAAATCGGAAGCAGAAAATCCTTGGGTAGAAGTGGCAAGCTTTGAATGTGCTTTTGATGTCACCTTATTTCATACAACTTCTGAACTGAAACAGAGATTTGAAAGTCAACAGGAATTTCTAAGAGAACAAGATCAAGAAACATTGCGAGTACCATTTCTCTATAATTATGATCCTGAAGGTATATATATAATAATATGAAGGATATTTTGAATATTCGGAATATTCTTTTTTAAATTCTAAAATTATTTATAATTGCTTGTTTTATAATTATACCTATTTTCTTTATTACAGAAGATCTTGATGGTTCAAACGATCATCATATTGGTTCTTTATATGTTCCCCCCATGCCTACTCCTTTACCAGGTGAGTTGAGTAAAATTAATATATTATTTAATTATTTCATTTTATTTCATTATTAATTTTCAAATTCTTTATCTAAAAAATCTTAGATGACATTGATGGTACATCTGTCTTATACAACAATGAAAGTAAAAATTCATCAGCTGTGGATATTTCAACTTCTGTTCCTAAGAAAAATATTCTTCACTTTTTGGGGAATGATTATGGTTTTTATCAAAATAATAATGATGATTTTGAGGCACAAATTGGGGATGATTGGTATATATTCATTTTTGAAGAATTACTGTAATATTTTCCTTTTTTTTTTTTTTAATTTCATTAATTAATTTACAAATCTTTCTAGTATCTCTATAATTTCAGGATCTGGTGTTAGTATTTCTAACACTTCTTTTCGCACCGCGCCAGGCTTTGATAGTGATGATAGTGATGATAGTGATGATAGTATTGAAACTGTTACTCATAAAGAAATAATTATTGGTGGAGGTATAAAAATTCCAATTTCTCTAATTCTTTATATATATATATATATTATTTCATACTTTTATTTGAAAGAAATGAAGTATTAAGTCTGAAATCTTTTTTTTTTTTCTTTTTTAGGTCCTGAAAATAATTCTGATGAAAGCGATCAAGAACTATCTCCTGTTGGTGAAGTAATGTCTCCTCCTGTTCCGAGATCTATACCATACAGAAGTTATTTAAGACGATACTACAAACGAACTACAAATAGACTTTCAGCTGGCACATTTAAAAGTTCTTTTCTTAGACCTCCACGTGTTTCATTTGTTCCATCTAAGGTAAATTTATTATTATTTTATATATATATACATATACATTCTTATACAAATTTATTAAATTTATGTTTTTAATTAAATAGGAGTCTGAAACAAAATCACCTGATATCGAATCCAGTAATTCTCATTTTAATTCATTTTTCGAAACTAAACTTGATGACCTTGATTCAAGTGACGAAATACTTCCAGAGTTTTCTGCATCAACGCAAAAGAATGAAAAGAATGAAAAGCATGCCGGAATTGAAGAACAGACAACTATTGTATTCGAAACAACGAAAAATGTCAAAGTCGTGTTAACTCCCATATTTTTGAAAATTGTTGTGGAATTCTTAGAATCCATAAAAGATGAGGTATTTTTCTGTTTCACTTCTTTAAATTTCCATAATTAATAGTGATATGTATAATTATGTGCTCACTTTTTATTTTCTTTTATTTTCTTTTATTTTTGATGCATCGTTTTAAATAGGATTGGGATATTGAATCAATGCTTGACGTGATGCAAACAGATTATGTCCGTGCACTTACCAAAATATTTCTTTTTAAATATACCACAACGAAATTTGTTGCTTTTATCCCAAGAATTCATCTACAGTTTATTCAGGATGTTTTGCTTCCCGATGATCTTAATACTACTAATGAAGAACATCCTGGAGTTAGGACAAGATATGATTTAACAAATACTATAATGTGTGCGGTTGCAGACCTTATTCTAGATCAAAATTTAATTTCTGGGTTAGTGAAATTCGAAGATGAAAATTTTAAATGCAAGGATAAATCTAAAAATGGTTTTCCTTCTTTGAAATTAATTGAATCTCGGATTAATTTAGACCTTGATTCATTGAAACTTAATGTACGTTTTGCTACCGGTTCAAGTACAATAGGTATATTTGGAATACCTGATTCCCTCTATGAATTTAAGACAACAGATCCATTAAATAATGAAAAGGTAGTATTGGATTTATCATTGGATAATATAAGATTAAAATGGATAGGATGTATGGAACCAAATTATTTTTCATTCGATATAGAGTCCTTAAATGTAATTTTCATTAGTCAATCCGCAGAAATAATGACTGGTGCAATTTATTGGTGGTTAGTTTTTGCCGAAGATCTCTCTAATATTATAAAGAAATTCAGAAAACATCGTAGACAACAATTACAATACTTAATTTATTATCTCGCACAATATTCTGAATCCAATCATATCGAAGGTGATCCACTTTATTTAACTTGTCCATCTAATGTCCTTAGATTAGGCGCTCCAAATTTAAAAATTGATAATGGTTGGAAATTACTTGGTCGAATAAGACATATTAAAAGATTAATGAAACCCGAACATCTTAAAGCATTACAAAATGATTTAAAAGACGATTTCAAGTTATTTTCTATGGATAGTCGTAAAATGCACGAACGTGTGGTTAATATTTTTTCGAATTGGAGAGATTGGGAAATGGATAATATATCTGCTAGTCGATTATTCTTGAGATTATTTCAACAACAAACTGTTAATAACAAAATCAACATTAATGAGAAAATCTACAGATTTTTAGTAAAATCATCAAACATTGGTAAATTATATATTGGTAATATTAAAATCTCTCTTTTTGAAGAATCTTATAAAAATTCTATAGAAATTGGACCGATTTCTACATGTCTAGAAATTCGATATCAAAAAGATACTTTACCATCTATTGAGGTTACTCGACCTAATACAGAACCTTCTAGTAGTACAAATGAGATCGAAGCTCAGACATATCTCGGATACTTGGATGTCATTTTTAAAATTGGTATTGAACAGATTGATGTGAATGTTAATCCTGATATTCTTGCTTTTGTCAAACATTGGTTAAAAGTTCATCGCGTATTTAAATCAAAGTTCGCAGCACTATCAAGCAAGAATTCTTTACAAGAAAATAGTTTTCCTTCAACAACAACTATTGTACTTAAACATAAATCAACTGGAACGATTACTAGTATGAATGATCTAAAGATTCCCAAATATAAAGACAAAAAACGAAAGGATGAATTTAATGTTAAAGATTTATTATCAAGACTTAATATTTTTGGGCAAGGAATGTTCTCATTAAATACGATAATGGTCACTGCATCCGCTCATAATTTAACAGCAAAACTTCAATTTAATAATATTAATTTTTCGATATGGTTTAATAATCCTAGAGCATTATATTCCATTGACAAACAAGATTTGGAAGGTGGTTCAGTTAATAAAAGTTCAGTTTATCCAAGTTCGAAAGGAAGTGGTGGAAAAAATCTGAATATTTTAATATTTTCAGGTGTTGGTGGTATTGGAAATATTTTAGCCACTATTGAAGAGAATAAAAATACTTTATTATACATAGAATTTTCACAGATTTGCACTAATATTGCAATAAGTTCTTTAATCCCGAGTCGTTCAAAGAATAAAGTTGACTTTGGTAATTTCTTATTAAATAATTTTTTGGTCTTTCAAAGCGTGACTGTAAAACTTCCTCACAGCCTTCTTAAACTTTATCATTTTGTTGAGAATTGGAGAACTGAGAAACTGCCAAGATACGATTTTTTATATAAAAAATTATTGGACGAATGGGAAGAACAACGAAAAATGACCATAAATTCGCCCAAAAATTCTAGCCCTCGTTTGCAAGAAAAAAATGTTAATCGAAATTCATTTGAAATTAAATTTCAATTTTTGATGAAAAAATTTTCTCTTAAAACACATATGCTTCCTTCTCTCGGATTTCATTATGACGCGTGGGATTTTCTTGTTCTGTTGGAACAACGTAATAGTCACTTTGGTAGAAATAAGATTAATTATTCTGGTCAATTAATTAAACAAGATATTTATTTTGTTACGCATCAAAGTAAAATCAATCAAACTCAAAGTGAAATAACTTCTACTTCTGATGATATTAATGATGATCATCAACAAGAAACAGCTTTCACCATACCAACTATTAGAACTACAGGAAATATCAAACCATTTGAAAATCGAAAACATCATTCTAGTAATATAAATAATATAAAGAAAGCAACAACCTCAACAGCCATGTCAAAACATTCTAAATTAGAGTCTGTAGTAACATTAAATTTTGTAAAATTAAGTTTGAATGTAAATATCATTGACAATTTATTAACTGCACAATCTCTCCTTGGAAGTGAAATAAATGATATATTGGATATATTTTTATTTTCATCAAAAAAATTAAAGGAAATTGAAACTTCTGAGAAAACAAAACATTCATTAACGGGTATTTCTCCCCCTGAAGATGAAAAAAGATTATTTTATAGTCTCGAAATCTCTCTCAGAGGTTTAAAAATTTCAGCAACATGTCCTTCAGCTGTTGGATTTTTTGAAACTAAAATTTTAAATGGTCATATTACAAATTTTCCTTTGGCGAGTATTTCAAAGAAAACAAAATTACAATGGAAATTTTCTGCTCAAAATTTTTCATTGTCTCTTAATCATAATACAGGTGTTAAACAAAAGGAAATGGTAGATGATGATATTCGAAAATATCGTATAGCTTACATTGTAATTGATTTGGAACTAAAAAACAAGCATGATCGATTGGAATTTTCCAGCAAAAAGTCAAAAACAAATGAAAAATTTTTTGACCCTATAGAAGAATCATATTTTTTGAAATTATCCAAAGTTCATGCTGTTATGCAACCTATCGCGTTAGGACGTTTATTTGATTTGTACATTTACTATAGTGGAGAATTGGAACGAAGAAAAGAAAAGAAAGCGGCTGAAATAAAAAAATTAACTGATAACACTCTTAGAATAATGAGATCACTTAATGTGGAAATACCAAAATATAAGTCTAAGAGCAAATCATTATTAGATAAAAAGGACTTGTCACTTGAAATTTTAAAATTTGCTGTTGCGCTTCCTCTCGATTTACAGGATGAATTATTATCAACTTCTGAAATTAGTGATATCATTGATTCTCCTATAGATTCACAAATTTCAGCATTTATTTTATCTACATCAAAAATGTATTTCAATACGAGAAAATGGAAATCTAGTTATGCAACTCTTAATGATCTACGTCTTCAATTCGTACCAAATTTCGATCAAGGAAATGAACTTCATTTTTCTTCACAATTTCATAAAACACAGAATCGAATTTCTTTTCCAGAAATTTCATTCGAAAGTAATTCAACTGGAAGTAATGATAAAAGAAACATATGCATAGATTCTAGAGTAGAAGGGTTTAAAGTTGAGATAGGAAGTGATATTGTTAATTATATTAATAGTCTTAGTGATATATACGCAGCAAGTCGTGAAAGATTAGAAAATTTTACTGCTGAAGCGAATTTAAATTTAAGTAATTTAGGTTCACAATCTCAACAACCTAAATCCAAAAGTGGTATAGATTCACCACAAGAAAATATTACAAATATTATTAATTTGTGTTTAAAAATTTCATTTGTAGCTAAAAGTGGAAGAATAAAGTTATATTCTAAAAGTTATTTGGCTAAACATAATAATAAAAAAGCTACAAGTAATAAGATACCTAGAATATCACGAACCTCAAGCGGTAGTATTTCTTCCATTCCTCGATTAAATTTGGATGGTATGTCTAATTATGCTCAAACTAATTCAGATGAAATGCCAGGAGATCATAGTATAGATGAAATTACGATACCAGGACTTAGCATAAATACAATTTATCAGGCGGTTTTAGGACAAATTTTTTCTCCAACGAATGATTTAGTGGAAAAACGTATACATATAGAACTTATTATACATCCAAGTTCAAATAGACTATTCCCTTCTTTAGTACCATTTTTCAAAGACATTATGGATGGTCTCAAGATAGGTATACAAAAATCCAGTGATAAAAAGGCTATTTCAGTTAAAGAAAGTGCTCGTGGTATGAATATTACGTGTTATTTGAGACTTTCGCGTACTACATTCGAACTTAGTTGTCTGCCTACATCAAAAGTATTTTGTTCTCTTAATTGGGAGGAAGGAAATTTTCTTGTATCTTCGAACAGTGCCGAAGGAACTCAATGTTTAACATGTGTTGGCAAAATTAGAGGGGCCTCAGGAAACATTCGTCATGCTTTCTCACCCGAAGATTGCTTAAAAGCCGAAACCAAGGACATTTCATTTAATGCAATTTTAATGAGTAGAAGAACTGAAATTATTTCTGATGATTCAATATCAATAATTGTTGAACTTCCCCAAATAATGGCTGATTTAAATATTCGTCACTTACAAGATTTATTAATGTTGAAGACTATTTGGTTAGAGCAACAATTATTTCGTACAATAAATGAAGAATACATTAATATCGATAGTAGATCTTCACCATTTCAATTTACAACACAAGATGAAGTTAAACCCTATTCATTTTATTTGTTAGTAAAATTGAAGCAACTAAATTTATCTAGTGATTTAGGTCAGGCAGTTGGAAAAGTACGATTTAAAACAAAAGATATTCAAGTACGTACAAAAAATGTTCCCGGAATTGTAAAGAAACTTACAGCATCAACGGATATTCTTGACATTAAATGTGAAGGTCGTCTTATGGGATATGCAAGTATGACAGGTCTTACTTTTTCAACATTTCTTAGAACACTTCCTCGTACAGTTTCTGATGGTCCTACTTGTGTCACGAATTTATTATTTAAAACTGAGCGAATCCAATCATCATTAGAATATGAATATCAAAAAATCCTAATTTTAGAAATGGATCCAATGGAATTCAGACTCACCGATAATTGGAAAATTGTATCTTTAGAAAAAGCTTCAGTATTGGTGCACGCAGATATATCAATTAGACAAATTCAAGCAATCGCTGTTATTAAGACAATACCAATATTTCTTCATATGGGAAATAAATTATTAGCATTAATTGAAGAGAAGAAGTCAGCAGCAACTAATGTTATCTTAGAATCAAAGAGAACTTCTACCAATTTACATTTACATCCTCACACATTTAATCCATTAGCATCACCAATATCTGCTACATCATCAACAAGTGTAATGACATTTAAGGAAGTTGTGGTTGGTGGATTAATTGTTCACCCAGTTGGAAAAATTACAATCGCGATGGAAAAAGCGCATCTTACAGTTTATCCGAATAATTTTTATGATTCTGATTGTGTACAAATTGGATTTGATGGATTATTAATTGATATGAAAAAATTTATTGAAGATGAACGAATTCATCGAGAACTTATTGTTCAACTTAATGCAATTGCATTAACGAAAAATACATGTAAAAAACTTAATATTAAAGATGGAAAAGGATTAACATCCCAACAATGGTTTGAACATGTTAAAACTTCATCAAAAAACATTTTTACACTTCCAAGTACGCATTTAATTATGACCACAATGCAAAAAATGAGTACTAATTTAGTCGATCATAAATTTGAAGTTGACTTTAGAGGAAAACTTGATGTTGCCTTAAATTTTGGTTTAATTAGATATCTTCAAGAACTGGCAACATTATATAAAGAGCAATTAAAAAAGAATGCAGTAGGTTTAAATTATGAATCTCCCAAAACACCAATTATTGCAATCGGAAGTAATCGCTCAGAATCACCAAAATCTAGTCCGTCATCAAACGTTTCAGGAGAAAATCAACCATTTTCTTCAATAATCAAAGAAACAAAAATTTCAACATCAACAGATGGTGGAATTTTGAAAGATGGAAGTAGTAATAGTAGTAAAATTGATGATGGTAGTGAGAAAGAAGAAAAAAGCAAGATTGAAATAAAATTTAATCCAATAGTACCAGTAAAATTAGAACCACAATTACGTTATTTAGGTGATGCTACACCCCCCTTAGAATGGGTAGGAGTACAAAGAGCAAAGGTACCCGGTTTTGTCCATACAGCTATTACAATGAATTTGGATGAAATTATTAATCACATTACTAGTGAATCATTTAAAGCTGCACAAGCTCTATTATGATGAAATATTTTATTTATTTAATTTTATGTATTTTTATTAATTAATTTAATTTCCTAATTCCTAATGACATAAATGTATGGTTTAATAGAATCAATAATAATTAAGATTTTTCTAATAATAGTTTAAATCTCTAATCAAATACGATATTTTTTATTTAAAAATTAGTAACTTTTGTTGAATTTATTCATACGTAAGTCTCGCAATAATTAATATACATCACATGATATTTTCGGGTGTCTTAGAATATTCTAAGAGAAAAAATTCTTATATTGTATGTTTTTAAAAATTTCAAAGTTGGGCCTTTGATTTGTTCACAAAATATCAAAATATAAGAATTGCGTGATTACTTGTTACTTATTATAATGCACACAAGAATTTATTGTCCTTGACAAAATTTTCTAAGCAAATTGATGATTACATATTAAATGATTTTTGATGGAGCTTTGCGAGAAGTTTTTATCAAAAATTCTTAAAAAAATGAGCAATATACATAATAATTGCGAACTCTATAAATCATAAATAATAAAATTTACAGGTTTGGAAAGTGGTTTGTAAATCATTTGTAAAAATAATAATTAATGATTATGTATAACAGTATAAATTAACGATATTCACACTGTGAATAATGATCTGGATATGATCTGCAGTATATTAAAAATCACATGGCGGTTATCTTAAAATGTTAGACCCGATTCGAGGGTAATTTTTTTGACTAAGGTCATTTCCACGGTTCAGATCTATTTTACCAAGTTTATTATCTTTCTTGATTTAGAAAATTAATAAATAAATAATATTATATAATTCTTTTTAATGGATGAAAGTAAAGGTTTAAAAAAAGATGTATTTTGCAACAAGTTAAAAATATCAACAAATAAATAATAAGATAAATGAATAATTAAATATAGAAAAATGAGAGACTCAGAAAGGTGGTTCAATATATTTTTTATTTTTTTTTTTGTTAATTGTCTCTATTTGTCTTTCTTATTGTCTTTGTAACATTAGTATAAATATAAATATCTTTACGATCAATGAACAAATAAATAGTTTTTTATTAATGATAATTTATTTTTTTGTTATTTTTTTCAAATCACGTGTACGTTGTTACTGTGAAAACCCGAGGTGGTTCAATATATTTTTAATTTTGTTTCTTTATATCTTTATTTGTCTTTCTTGTTTCTATTATATAACTTTGTAACATTAGCATAAATACAAATATCTTAAACATCTGTTATTAATGGATATCTTTACGATCAATGAACCATTTTTTTATTAATTATTTTTTTATGATAGGCATTTGGTAATTATTTTTTTATGAAAATTCTTTTTCATACAATTTTTCCCTTTTTTCTCTATCCTTACTTCTCCTCTTTCAATCTCTTCTCTTTTTCTATATCCATACTTCTCCTCTTTTTCTATACCCCCTATGGTTCCTTCCTCTTTTTTTTTTGTAGCAACGTCCTTTTTTTTAACCGTAGAAGGGAGGGAAAGAGAAACCACCGAAGAGGGCAAAGAAATAAAAAGTAAGGAACAAGGGAAAAGGTAATAAAAAAGGTTGAAATCGTCAAAATCATTATCATAAAATTGTGGACATTTAATAGGGGAAAAAGAAAATATGAACCCAATTTTCTAACCTTATCAAAATCTTATTCCAGTTACTACCTCTAGGAAATGCAGCAAGTATTCTTAGTACTATGGTTACTTCTTCTCTCTTGTCCAAAGGCGATTTGATATACTCATATGGAATTCCTTGTGACTCCAGTCTCTTAATTAAAAGAACTTAATGGTTTGGGATTTTTTCTACTGAGATCCAGGCCTGGGACCATTGCAAATGTTAATCTCTTGAGAATATTGTTTTATGAAACTGGAAGCTATTCGGAACACTTTATGTGAACGTCCTTTCATATTAACACTCAATTGAGATTTTGGAGGATATTGTTTATAGTTTGCAAGCTTTTTCCTTATCCCTTAAACGGCAAATCATATGAATTGCGGGCAAATTTCACTACCTTTTTAAGGGATAATAATTTAATTTAATATATATAAAAAAATTGTGGTGATAGCTACCACAAACTATCCAGTTTATCTTTACTAGTCTTAAAGTAGAATGTGAAAAATCGACAACCTATTAATTGAATATTTCAAAACAAAACAGAATTATTGAAACAAGCAAAAGAATTAAGCATATTAGCAAATAAGATATTTTAGATATTTGAAATATTCTAATTAAAATTTTGAAAGATTTGGAGCATTTGAAATGGTTACAATTTTCCCTTAAAACTTGTCCAGTTGATTTTTACTGGTCTTAGAAATCTTAAAAATACATTGCAGTTTCTTTTCTATTGACTTTTGCATTATCAAAAAGGCCCAAATGATTTAAAGATATATAAAATATATTTCTTGAGTAGGTTTGATTCCTACATGGGTCTCTGTAAGAGTCAATGTTTATTATTACTTAAAAACACCTACCCGAATTAATATATTACACTTTTTACACTTTACACACTTTACAAGAAATCAATTTATTTCCAAAGTTTTTTTTTTTTTTACTTTAGTTTTCATTTCAGAATATTTGATCTTTAAGTTGTTTCTTTTCATTTAACATTTTTTATGATAGTTGCCTACCGTCAACTTAACGTGCAAATTTCTCGAAATAAAAAAAAGATTTATTGAAGAAAAATCTAGAAAATCTATAAAAATCTATGATGTTCTAGAATGTAAATCATTGACCTAATTTGGAATTCCCAATTCTGGTAAAACATTGGACTGTAATACGCGTCATTATAAATCTTTCATCCCTAATCACATGCTTGGTGATTTTTTTTTGAAGTCTTAAAAATTTTTAGAACGCAAATATAATACAAATACAAATAATACAAATTATAATATTAGATATGCGAATAAAACTCGAATTTGAAGAATTGTTAAATACTCAACGCGTCTGGTTTTCCATAACTGAACAAAGGAAGCATGATTCAATAAAAAATTTGGAAAAATTCATTACACGTGTATTTCATTTGGAGGGCATATGTCCAAATGGTATCATTTTGGAATTGGATGAATTTAGACTTTTTCCAGATTCAGAGGTCGGTGATTTGATCAGAGAAGACAATTTAATTAGGTAAGGATGCCCATAATAAGGGTAACATGAATTTGATGAAGGTAACACTTTTTTTCGTTGTAAAAAAAAAAAAATTATTTAGAATAAATTTCAGATTTTAATAATTAATTTATTATAAATACTTTATATAATAGGGTTAAAAGGCAGAAAGTACTTTCAGAGAAAAACATACGTCCTTCTTTACAAGTTTTCCAAAATAAATCTAACATTAATAAACGTGATGAATCAAGAAAAATTGAAATTGATAAATGTGACGAATCAAGAAAATCCGAAACCAATAAATATGATGAATCAAGGAAATCTGATACCGATAAACATGATGAATTAAGAAAAACTGATAAATTGTTGTGGGAATCATCCACTAAAAAGAGAAAAAATAATGGGTCAATTAATAATCATATTGATTCTTCTTCAGAATCTGATTTATCAACTGGGAATACTAAGAAATTTAAAACTAATATAATTGATTATCCTAATGGCGATCAAATAATAAGAGAGGTTAATGGAAAAAGCAAAGGTGTGGGAATAGTACATAATTATCATAATTTTAATTCTTCATCATTATCGAATAATGAAAATAGTCAAGATACTTTAACATCAATAGAAACTTCTATTAATTCTTCATCAATGAATGAGATTGGTGTAAATCAATTAGGTTTATCTGATTTTTTATCGAATGAAAGTGAAAGTAGTGAAAGCAGTGAAAGTAGTGAAAGTAGTGAAAGTAGTGAAAGTAGTGAAAGCAGTGAAAGTAATGAAAGTATCGAAAGCACTAATACAGAAAAAGAATCAAGTGATGAAATGGAAACAAGTGATTCTGAAGATAGTGAAAATAATGGAGATAGTAATGATTCTAGTAACGATATCTCAATTGATCAATTATCAGGGTAAATTAATTATTATTATTTTTATATTGTTCATTTCTTTTTTTTTTCTTTTTTTTTCAAGAGAATTATTAAAATTTTACTTAAATTTCATATTATAAAGTTTAACGGATAAAATTCATCATTCTATGGATATTGCGGATAAATGGATTCATAAATCTAATGGTATAATAAATTCAAGTATTATTTCTGAATCGAAATCTACAGAAAGTCAACAAGATCAACAAGGGCAACAAGAATTAACCCCTAAAAAAAGTACGCAAGCAAGAAATCAAAGAAAAAAAAATGCCCTGAAAAAGAGAGAAGAAATGAATAAAAAAATGTTGTCATTATCAAATGAAATTAGTAAAACTAATTCACTTAATTCCGAAAATTCCATTTTAAAAGATCAATCATATTCTAATTCATTTCATATTGATGAAAATCAAGGAAATACCAGTAATATTTCAATTGGGAAAGCGTTTACTGAAACAAATGTTATCCAAGATACAATTGTCACATCTAATTCAAATGATAATTCTCAAAAATCAAATGATTCTTCACTTTCTAAATCGTCTATAAAGTTGAAACCACCAATGTCACTTTCTACAACTTCTAATAAAAAAAAAGGATATTTTCAAGATATGAAGAATAGAACACCTATTCATTATAGATTTACAGGTGCAGAAGAAATTCAAGAAGGAAAGGAAAATTCCGGTACATCTCAAAATATTGTCGTAGATTCCGAAGAAACACCATCAATCAAATCTACTAATAATAAGAATGATGATGAATATGATGACACAAATTTAGGAATAATTGATGGACACGAAACTCAACAACTTCCTTTACCACGTGCCATAATAACAAGAGTTGACATTTCAAGTCAAAAACAAAATAGCCAATTACAGAATAATGGAAATAATGTGCAGCCAAATCTAGGCGAAAATAATGTAAATAATCGAAATACCAAAAACAACAACATCGTTCAGACTACACAAGAACAAGATATTAAAAAAGTTGAATTCGAAAAAATGGAATTATATCAAGGTCGACCCAATATTAATGATGTTATTGCGTATAAGGTATGAAATATGTTAATCCATTTTTTTTTATTACATTTTATTTAAATGATTTAATTAATTTAATCCAGAAAATATTTTTAATTGACGTTGTTAAATAAATTAGGTTTTAGAATTTTCGCAGTTAACTTGTACACCGGAACTTTCCTCTTATGAGGTAAATAATTATAATACAATTATTATAAAGATTATTTTATATTCTTTTTAATATTACGTTTATTAATCTATTAATTTATTTGATGATTTAGGAAGCAAAGATTGTTGGTTATGATCCTATAGCAAATAAAGTAACACTTGTGAGATGTAAAAAATTAGACAAACAAACTGTTACGTCACGTAACAAATTTCAACTTGAAGGATTAGATGATGAATTCATTCTTGATGATCAAGAATCAAGGATTGGAGTCTTTACTATTGGATGGGATGAACTACATCAAGTTAGGAAGGTTGTTAGAAATGAAAAATGAAATTTGTTTAAATCTGTTGATTAATTTTTTTTTAATTTTCCATAATAAGAATTGTTTAGAGAATCATGGATTCTTTTATTATTTGTTGTCAAAAAAGAATATATATATTTCTCAAAAGAAACTTTTTAGAGAATTTATATATCAATAAAATCAAATCAAATGATAAATTTTTTTTTTTTTTTTGCATAAATTATATTAATTTGTTTGCCCATTTTGAAATATAAAAAATGTGACCATTCTCTCTATAAATTCGTCCATCAATATATAAAATTATTGCATATTTCAATATAAGTTCATTATATTTTCTCAATGAAAATTTGTCATTCAAATCCAAACAAAAATCCACTAAAAATGGTTTAATGTAATCATCTCTCCAAAATGGTCTGGAGTGGAATAATTGTTCGAACCTTAATTTTGGATCTGAAGATAATCTAGAGATTGGATAATATTTTATAATTTTATCTTGTTCATTTGATATCACCGATAAATTATTTTCTTTATTTTCCAAGATTATTGCGTTATCCTACAAAATAATAAATTAAATTAATTAAACAAATTAAATTAATTATAATAAATAATTATCCACTATATTGTAAACAATAAAAAATACAACACGTTAAATAATGTTAATTAAATTTTACATTAATTAATTCGAAAGAAATTGGGTATTCGATTGTAAAATGGTTGCTCCATTCCTTAAAAAATTCAGAAAGAATCATTCTTTTATTCTAATAATCACGTAAAAAAATAGAATTGATATTTAATAAATATAATAAAATATTGAAACAGTATTCTCGTTTAAATGGTTTCTTACAAATTTTTCGGTTTGTCTCAAAATTTGGATACCAACATATCGAGCAATCTTTTCTTTTGATAAACTAAAGATTGGTTCTATTGGAATTATTTAATTTTGGTATTAAATCTTATTTAAATAATGTTGGTCACAAGAGAAAATAATAAAAATATCAATAATAATTCACCAGATTCATTAGTATCAATTGTTTCTGATATTAATGCAAGAGTATGCTTAACAATAAAATTCGGAAATCCATAACATTCAATAATTTCATAATATTCCTTTGCTGTAACTTGATCTATTTCCATGTTATAAGGATCAAGCATTATAATACATGCCTTAAAGACTTCATTTATATATTCTTGATCAATATATCTCCAATACCCTTTTGTTAATAAATTAATTTAATCTTTAATAATTATAATTCTTTATTAACTATAATTCTTTTTCTTCTTTTTTTTCCCTTTTAAGATAATGAATTCTATGTAAATAATGGATTCAATTAAAAATATATTAATACCTTCTATTTCTATCGCGCTTCTTTTTTTAAGAGAATTTCTCAATTCTTCTTCACTGGCTTGTATAATTTCTTCCAATTCATCAAATGTGTAGAATTTTGCCTTGTCCTCCATTTTGCATTAATTTTTTTTTCTTGTTAGCATAAATTGAAGAACAAACATATCTTGTGTGATAACAAGTTAACATACTTTAAAATAATTAATTTCTTCATCTTGTCCTTTATATGAAGTTTTATTCAACAAATCATCTAATTGTTCAATCTTTGGTGCACTAGGAGTTAATTCACATATGTGATTCAAAACATCAATTACTTCAAAATTACGAGATATTGAATCATTATTATTATTGTTATCTACATCCACGTTATCTACATCCATGTTATCTTCATTATTTTCATCATTATTCGCGTTATCTTCATTCTCGGGTTTTCTAATATTCGTTATAGATAAAGGAGCCAACAAAAATAGAGAATCGCTATATTTCTGTTTACGCATCGTGAAAGTTCTATTGTGTGTACATAATACTGGTTCTTCATCGAGGGTTGTAGCCTTTATACTTAAACTTTATTACATTATTATTATTATTAATTTTTTTATTTTTTATTTTTTTAGTTCATAGTTAACTTCGCCTCATTCTCTGTGATAACTAAAATGTATTACCCTTCTTGAATTTGCATATTTTCAATCATATCAGCAACTTCAATAGGAATTTCAATCAATTTGTATTGGTCTTTTTCGTAATCGCGTGAAAAGTAGAGATTCATTGTTGAAATATCTTCTGTATATCGTTCCCCTGGCTATCATATTAGTACACGACGCGAACACAGACCCTGCTTTTTTGAGGGACCCTCGAATTTCGGGGGAGTTAAATTTTGTAGTTTAAAATTTCGAAGTTTCTTACATTTATACGTCGTCTCTCCTATTCTCTTGCCACTGAAAAAAAAAAAACTTACTTTCCCACCTCTCGTCAGTTCATCTTGTTTTATTCCTCTTCTGCCATTAAAGATAATGGCAAAGTTTCCAACAAGTTAGACTCCAAAAACACAGACCAAGTTGGATAAAAACAAACTCAACATTTTACTTGAAATTTTTTAACTAAAAAGAGCTATACATCTCAAGACATCTCAAGGGTGTTTGTTAGTGTAAATATTTTATTGACTTTTGGGTTTGTTCAGAACAATGAAAGTTATTAACTTGGATAATTTTGAAAGAAACACCAAATGGATCAAGTAATCTTAAATGTAAATAATATGATTTAGATAACAAATTCACAATTAAAAAATTAAAAAATGTAAAAATGTAAATATACTAATTTCTCTATATACATGAGAACTTAAATTTATACAAATGAAAATTTGTCTGTTACATGGACATCATATTTTAAAATTCAAAGTTATTTAATACAGTTTTATAATTATTTGTGTAACAATTATATTTGATTAATATTTAAAATTTCTTGACCAAAAAAAATTACCAATTGTAAAATTTTGGTGGATTATAAATTGGTTTAGTTTCAATAAGTGGAACCCAGGGATTTTTCTTATATTTAAACATCTTTCCTCCTAATTTTCGTTGTGTACCTATACCTTTATCTTCTTCTGGTTGCCTTAATTTGAGAATATATTTCATATGGGCTTTCTTCACCAACATCCAAGCAAATCTTCCTCGTGGTTTATAATCAGGTTTTTTCCTATAAAATCCTTTTCCTACAAATGCTTGTTCTAGATTTTTTAAATAAAAAATAAATTAATTTGTGAATGAATAGAATTTCTCAGTTACCAAATGCAACAAATTTTATACTTACCAATATAAACTTCTTCAGGAGGCATCATTTTATATCTCCATGCATGATCTCTAGCAGTAATCAGGGAATTCATTATTTTCCTTGAAGCTCTTTTATGTGAAAATTCCATTTGTTCTATAGCTTCATTAATAGATTTCCCGGCAATCTGATTGGCTAAGAATCTAAGTTTACGTGGAGAAATACGAAAATTCATTGTTGAATATCTGTGCTAAAAAAATGAAAAAAATTTATTAAAGAATTTTTTTTAAAAAAAAAAATGAAAATTTTAATTAAAGAATTTAATAATTATAATTAACAAGATTTACTAAATTATAATTTTGACAAATTACCTCGTATTTCTTTTTCTTTGCCTCGGTAGGTATTCCAAGTCTCGTTTCAGGCATATTCTCATCGGATTCTTTATCTGATGAATCATCAGAATCTAATTTATTTTGATTTTCTTCATATGCTTCGAAATCAAAAATTGGTGAAGCACCAAGTGATAATTCAATATGAGAATTTACGGGAAGTTCCTTTAAATCTTTTGTCAAATCTACCACTTTTTTATCTTCTTCTAATTTTTTACGACCAATATAAAAATACTTGGGAGGTCTAGATTTTTGACCCGGAGCAACGAACCTGGTAAATATTTGAGGTGAATTATGTAAATTCCTGGATAAAAGTTAAATAAAATTTTAAAATAAAATTTAAATAAAATTTAGTAAAATAAGATACACTTCGTAAAGGCCTAAGAATTCTAATAATTTGAAAAGGATAAAATAAAAATAATATTTTGGTACCTTACTACAAGAAGATTGGGAACTTGTGATTTAATTGACTGATAAACATTTTGCCTTCTCAAAATTGAAACTAATGCGATTCATTCATTCATTCATTCTTTTTTTTCAATAAGTATTTCTTGAAAATTCATTAATTCATTTATTTAGAAAAAATTCTTACCAGTAGATAATATCTTATTTCTTATTAACATTTTATTTTATTTGAAGTTTTTAATCAGTTTATGCATTGTCCATTTTTAATTTTGATGATTATCAGTTGTAACATCAAAATATAAATTTTTAAAAAATTTTCCAAATTTAAAAAATGTCAGATATTGAAAATATTGAAAGTGAAGAACGGTATATACTTTCGAAATTCTTTAAAATTCTTCAAATTATTTTTTTTTTTTTATTTATTGCATTTAACGTATGAAATAGTATAAACCCCAATATTCTAATAACTGGTACCCCAGGAACTGGTAAAACAACATTATGTGAATTAGTAGCTGAAACAACAGGATTAATTCATATCGATGTTGGTAAATTGGTTAAAGAAAAAGGGTTACATCAGGGATTTGATCAAGAATATCAAAGTTATATAATTGATGATGACAAGGTATTATATAAATAAATAAATAAAAAAATTAATTAATTAATTAAAATTTAATTTCAATCTTTCTAAAAATTTAAAAATTTATACATACATTTTTATATATGTAGATAATAGATGAACTTGAAGATAAATTATTAAAAGGTGGAAACATTGTAGATTTTCATTCCTGTGAAATTTTCCCCGAACGTTGGTTTGATTTAGTATTAGTTTTAAGAACCAATAATACTATTCTATATGATCGATTGGAGACGCGGTATAAATTTCCTTCACTTTATATGATTATCATTTATTATTATTATGATACGTTTATTAAAATTGATTAAATTCTACATTCTACATTATTCAGTGGTTACATTCAAAAGAAAATCACCGAAAATATTGAGTGTGAAATATTTCAAGAAATCCTTGAGGAAGCAAAGGAATCTTATTCATCAGAAATTGTTATTGAATTACAAAGTAATTCATTACAAGATATGGAGAATAATTCCATTAGAATAGAAGAATGGGTAAAAAATTGGAAATCGAACAAAATTCAAGAATAATTTTTTCTAATAAGTCTTAATAACACTTATTATATAATTATTTTAAATTATTAAAAATAAAAAATAAAAAGATTAAATTATCATAATAGATTAAATTATCATAGTAGATTAAATTATCATAATAGATTAAATTTCTATTTGTTCATTAAAGAAGTGAAAGTTCTCTCAGTTATCATTTTTTTTACTCTAGAAGGAATTGGAGGTATATTCTCATTTGAACTTCCCTAAAAAAGAAATATAACATTGTAAAATGATTTGTGTTAAATCAATCTAAATCATTTTTTTATTTATTTACCTTAAGACGACGTAATCTTACCCAACGCCTTCTACGAACAAATGAACGAAGAGCCCGATAACATCCTATAACAAAATTATTTACAAAATATTTTTTAATTAAATATAATCAATATAATCTATAATCTGATATGAATAATATTTCTTACCATGCCAATTATCACAATGGAAATCAAATGCATATTCCCAACCTTCTATATACCGAAAAAAATAAATCTTTAACTTTTTTTTTTTTTAAAAAAAAAAAAAAAATAGATTCTAAATAGATTTTAAATACCTTCATCAACATCACCAGACATATCAATCAACCATTCTTTAGAGACCTAGATTATTTTATATAAATATAATTATTATGATCTCCCAAGAAAATATTACATTGGGGCTTTAGTCCGCGAACTATTCGTGCGGTACTACTTACTACGCACCCATTCCCATGATGGGTTTGGTAATTGAAAAGTATGAATATCCATCGGAGAACATCTAAAATAATAATTCGTTTTTTTTAAAAAAAATCATAAGATGAAAAAATATAATGAAAAATAGATGAAAAATATTGACCCATTTTCTATATTAGTCCATGGTGGTGGATCTACTGGACTCAAGACCTTTGAGGTGAATTTAGGTATTCCCAAAACAAATAATCTTCAAAATGTATAAGAAATTATTAAATTTTATTTTTAAAATAACAAAAATGTTCAATTCATAATTATACCCTCGTTGGTTTTCGTTTAAAATGTCGTATATATAACTTGGAGAGTTATTATTTGATTGAATTTCTGATGTCTGAAATTATTATTGTTTTTTTTTTAACACAAAAAAAAAAAAAAGAGAGAGAGAGAAAAGAAAAGAGCACAATATCGTTTTTTAAATTACCTCATTTTGTCTTATGATCTTAATAGTATGAAAATTCTCTGGACTTTCGTTATCCATGATAAGTATATAATTATATAATTAATATAATTACCAGTTTTAATACAGAACAAGGTTATTTGTGTAGGTATTTATATATACATTTCAGAGTTTCTGCCCCTTTTTTAGGTATTGACAAATTTTTCCATTGTTGAAGTTTTAAAATATAAAAATAATAAATATAATAAATATAATAAATATGATAAATATGATAAATATGATGTAATTATTATAACGCAATTTGACTAAATTAATGCAAATAATATAATGCATTACCAAATCAAATATTTAAACATCTGCATCCCCACATGATTATAATAAATCATATGAATTTATTTAACTTGTCAGTTTTAGCTTTACTTGACCTCAGAAATTATAAATGGCCAGCTAAACATTATACACAAAATTGTGTGTTATCTACACTCAAAGCGTCTGCGTCAGACTTAAGCAGTAATGTCAGTAATGGTGAAATCATAAATATAACTTTTAGACCAGAAACTTTTACATGATAAGAAGTATAAGAATCTTGGATATAATACGAGTGTCATTAAAACAATAGGAAAAAAAAAAAGGATAATAAATATAATAATATAATAAAAATATCAAAATATAATACATATGATAAATAAAAATAATAATATAATAAATAAACAGCTGCTCATTTTTATTTTATTTTTATGAAAATCATGGGTATGTACTTTATATAAATATAAATAAATATAAATATATATGTGTGAAAAGATTTTTAAAAAGGAAATAAAAAGGACTAAAGATCAAATGAATAAATATTATAAAATTTTTGATTATATTCCAAATCAAACGAAAAAGATATAAGATAATTACAATATTATTGACCAAAAAAAACTATAAAAACTATATGAATAAAAATAATCTACATGTAAAAATGCATGATCTTCGAATAATAAAAAAATTTGATTCAAATTTTTAGTAACAATAAAAGATTCAAATTTTTAGTAACAATAAAAATTCCTACCAAAAAAAAGAATAACCAAAAGAATAACAAAATAATAACAAATAATGATGATAATAATAATAATAATAATTAAATACAAAAAGGCAATATATATATAAAATATTTATTTATAAATTAAGATTTACAGCTTGTTTCAAACTTTTCCTTCTTTCATCCTCTTTAACAAAAACTTCCGCGACTTCTGCAAGTTCTTTGTCCATTTCAACTTCATGAATTGCTTCCTTAATAGCCGCTTCTGTTTTATTACGTTCGGCTTCATCTACCTCCTCTCGAGTTGGTGGTAGACGCTCGTTCTGAAGATCAGAACGACGGGCCTCTTCAAATGAAGTGATGGCTTTTTATATGGAAATTAAAAATTAAATATAAATATGAAATATTCCCCTTTTTTTTTTTTTATAAAAATATATAATATGAATAAATAAATAATAAATCTATTTATAATACCTTTTTTAATTCCTTCAGCTCCTAAAGCTAAAGTTCCATATGGTAATTTACCAGTTCCTGTCACAGTCTTTAATTCCATGACACTTTCTGATTCTTCCCTGTTAGAATTAAATTTATTATTAATAAAAAAATGTCATAATTTTTCAAATGATTATTGTAAATACCTTAAAACAGAGAATACTCTGGCCATTTTACCAACTGCCAAAATCTTATTCCTGATAACTTGACGTCTTTCTGCACCATCAGTCGCCGAATCTGAAATAATAATAATAATAATAATAATAATAATAATAATGGGATAATTAGAAATTATATATATTAAATCTCATTTTCAAAGATAATTACCTGGTGTTTTAGGTTCTGATAAAAGTTCTTCGTCTATCAATTCTTCTCTACTACAGATATTTAAAATGGCTAGAAGCATATCTGTAACTGTTAAAAATAAATAAAGAAGTAAAACGTAAAAAAAAAAATCATGAATTTTTAATTTTAATACATTTAATCCGTTCTCCTTATATGAAAATAAAATAAATAAATAAAAATGATTACACACTCTTTTCACCCACAAAAGGTAGAGACCAAGTAAAAACATCCATGAAATTAGGTAACCAATATGGATGAGGTGTACAATTAAATTGACGAATATTCATAACATTATTTTCATATTTCAATACAGCAGCTTTATTATTGTAAACGTCTAAATAATTTGGTGCAGAAAAGATTGTCATGACGGAAGGGAAACCAGTAGTTTTTGTTTTACGGTACATTCGATATCTAATAAAGTAAAAACAAAATTAGAAAAACTTTTAGATTGAGAATTTTTTTTTTTTAAAAAAAAAAAATATACCATTTAAATAATAAAAACAACAAAAAGATTAATTATTAATTACCCTGCATCTTGAGCTTCATGTGCACGAATAATTGATAACAACCCATTTTTTTCCAAAAAATTACAAGCTGCATAATAACTTTAAATTATTAAAATTATTAAAATTATTAAAATTATTAAAATTATTAAAATTATTAAAATTTAATAAAAGTATCTTAAACGTATAAAAAATTACAAAATAATTTTACCTGAAAAAATAAGAACATCCGCGTACATGATTATGAACGAAACATTCATCATTTTTTTCTTGCCCAAATTCTTCTAAAGGATCAGCCCACAATAAATCACACATTAATCCATGTGTAGGAGGCTCTCTAAATCTATTAATCTGAAGTTAAGTAAGTAACAAAGCTTTTAAAAAAAAAAAAAAACTTTATATGAAATGTTTATAATTCATCAAACTAGTATTTTTAATACTTACGTTACGCAAATCTTCTAAAGTATTAAGTTCTGGTGACAAACCACCGTGAATACATAAAAATTGTTTATTCATTATGGCAGCCAATGGAAGAGCACAAAATGATTCCATACAAGCATCATAAACTTTTTCTGAATATTTATGTTTACCTACATACAAACATACATATATACATACATTTATATTTATATATTAAAGATTAAAAGAATATCGAAAAATTTTTCAAAGAATAAATGATAAATATCTTCAAATATAAAATAAATAAACTTACATTCTAATTTGAATGTAAAGTAATCGGTCAAATGACGACATTCATGGTTACCACGTAACAAGAATAATGTTTTTGGGTACCATATTTTCAATGCCCATAAATAAAGAACGCACTAGACAATAATGATAAAAAATAATTGAATTATGATTGATGTGATTGATGTGATTGATGTGATTGATTTGATAGAGAAAAAAAATAATTCAAAAAATACCTCAATAGAAAAATATCCTCTATCAACATAATCTCCCAAAAAAAGGTAACGAGTTTCAGCAGGATTGCCACCAACTTCAAATAATTTCATCAAATCATAATATTGACCGTGAATGTCACCACATACTATTGAAATAAAAAATAGATCAAAAATAATAAATAAAAAATGGATCAGAAATAATCAAAAATTCTCTAATAAATTTAATAAATTTAATAAATTTGTCATGTGCGAGATCTAAATAAGGTACCTGTTATAGGTGCATCAACTTCTAACAAGTTCTCTTCTTGTTTTAATATTTCTGTACCCTTATTAATAATATATAATGCTTGTTCCTCTGAAATTCTACCCTCACGATAAAAATGATTTTTGAGAAAGTGAATGTCGGGTTTTTCTGGATCATCATTATCATAAAAATCTTCAGGTATTGGTATTTGAACTGCGGGTGCTTGAACCTCTGAATTGTTATAATAAATTTTATATAAATGAAGATAATTAAAAAGAAATCCGAAAATTTGATAAAAAAAAAATAATATTAAAAATAAATAAATTAATAAAATAAATAATAATTAAATTATAAAAATGTTTGCTGCTATTTATATTGTATTAACGTGAACAACGTGCAACCTTAAGCGTTCTGAGTTAAAGGAATAAACTTCAAACTTTTACGCGTTGGCATATCTTTCATATCTTTTGATGAATACCCTGATACGTTTTTCGTTGGAACCGTTTGCTGTTTTCAAATCGATTGCAATGTGCACGAACCTTTGCAATAACGATCCAAGGTTGACACCTTACTACCATCATCCATTTCGTGAACCGTAAAATCAATCTCGGGAATGGAAACTTTCGACTCTTCTAAATTTTTCAAGTGCTCCATGGCATCCGTGGGGATTGACATAGATTCTGACATTTCAAGTTTTGAAAATCAACAAAAAAAAAAAAGTAATTTGAAAAAATAGGTGAAACGTCGAGCAAGTATAAAAAAAAAAAAAAAAAAAATAGATTTTTTTTTTATTTATTTTCTTTAAACCGAAAAGGAAATTCTGAACATTTTGAAGGGAACACAGATATGTGAAATGGGTTAACATTAATATCTTTGTGCATTTGTTGGATTTTATGCATAATAATAAAATTTAAGCTTGGCGGCACACGATAACCATGAGTGGTAAAATATCGAAATCTTTGGAATCATCTAGTGATGCAGTAGATGCGGCGATTGCCAAAGTTGCAGAACTTTTAAGATCTCCCGATGATTTAGTTAAGACAAGTCTTTTACGTAAAAGACACGCAATAGAAAAGGCAACAATAGACGCTCAATTAAAAACAGGGGTTAAAATCCAATTAGATAGTACACAAGAAGGAATTGATACATTAACTGATTCCAAGAAACAAATGATGATTATTAAGGATAATATGCAAACCATCGATCGATTATGTTCAGAAGCACAGGATATGATTCAATATTTTCCCAAGATAAATAAGGTATATTATATATATGTGTGTGAGTTATTGAAATATATTTTTATTATAATAATATTAATATTAATATATATATATATATATGTATGTACATTAACTTTTTTAGATTTCACAAATTCATCGTAATTTCGTTGCAACACAAGAAACTGCACAAAAATTACAAGAAATGTATTCAACCGTGGATCAAATACAAAATCTTTTACAAGAAGATAAACAAAATAATTATGGACCACAAAATATATTGTACATTCATTATCAATTATTTAGATTACAAGAATTTCGAGATAGTACAATGCATCAAGCTAAAAATTCAACACAAGGTGATTTGATTTTTACATTAGAACAATATTTTCAAAGATTAGATGAATTATCAAATGAATTTAAGGAATATCTTTGGTCATTGACCAAAGGAATTATGGAATTAGCAAAAAATGGACAAGGAGCAATTATTGTTAGTATAGTTAAGGTGATCGAAGCGGAAGAGAAAGCGGATGAAAGAGCGACGCGAGCGGAACAAGCAAGATATAGTTATTCGGATCTTGCAACTAAATTTAAATCAATTCAAACTAGTCCACGTGTAATTCGATCATATCGAAGTCAATTTCAAGATAAATTACAAGATTCAATTTCCGAATTGTTTGAAGATTTTCATGAGACCTTTAAAGATGAACCAATGAAATTATTAGAAAAAGTAGATTTTATTTATAATGATCTTGGAATGGTTTATCAAGAAATCGTACCAAGATTTCCTAAAAGATATAATATCTTTTCAGTATTTGTTTTAGCATATCATAGACATTTATATAATATTTTTGATAAAATGGTTAAATCGGATCCAGATGCCGGAACAATTTTAAGATTAATTCGATGGGTTCGACAATATTATAAACGAATGAATAAAGAATTTCGAGTTTCGGAAGATATATTGGAACCACCTTTAATTGATGGAAATGAACAAGGTTTAATTAATGATTATTTGGATTTAATTAAAGGAAAACTTGTTGAATGGATGAACAATTTAATGAATGATGAAACTAAAGATTTCGTGGAACGAAGTAAGCCACCTGAATTAGATACGAATCAATTATATGGATTATCCGGATCAGTTATTATGTTTCAAATGGTAAATCAACAAATTGATGTTGCCGCAGAATCGGGACAAGGTAAAATTTTGGCAGATGTTGTAAAAGTTTGTGCTGAAGTAATGAAAAAATCTCAACAAACTTGGATGACTTTATTAAAATCGGAATTAAAAAAACAAATCGAAAAACCAAATGATGCACCAGCAGGATTTGTAGAATATGTTATCGCATTAGGAAATGATCAAATTCGATGTGCAGATTTTACTGAAGCAGTTGTTCAAAGATTACAACCTTTACTTTCCGAAAAATATCGAAATCAAATTACCAATGATCTTAACGAAACCATGGATGGATTTTTAATCATCGCACGTGCAGCAAAGGATACATTATTGGATGTAGTATTTAATGATTTAAAATTACCATTTAGTCAAATTTATACATCCTCATGGTATCAAGATGATCCAATGTTACTTATTATTGAAACAATTAAAGATTATAACAATACTGATTTTCAACCACATATGAATGAATATTTATTAGATAAATTAATGACAAATATATTAGAGAGATTTATTATTGCATATATAGAAGCGATAAAAAATAAAGGAGCCAAATTTAAGAAACCTGAATGTTTAACGAAAACTAAAAATGATGTTGGAACAGCTTTAACATTTTTCCAACAACATATTCCACCATTAGAATTAAAGAATACATTTGATGTAATAGATAGAATGCATCAATTAATAGAAAGTAATCGAAAATCAATATTCTTAGATTATTATAAAATGAAGAAAGCATATGGAGATATGCCAAATGGGTTTATTGAAGAAATTTTAACAAAAAGAGATGATTTAGAGAAATCACATGTAAAAGAAATTATGGAAAATATTAAAGCAAAAAGTAAAGAAACAGGAGAATATACAGGAAAAGCAACTATTTTTGGTAAAATTAATTGGTAGAAACAAATTTATTTTATTTTATTTTATTTTTTAATTAATTTTTTCAGAAATATAGATATTATAAAATATAATATTAAAAATATAATATTAAAGTATAATATTAAAAAAATATAACATTAAAAAAATATATTAAAAAATTATAATATTAAATTAATAGATATTGTGATTATAATTTATTATCAATAAAAATAATTTATTTTTATTTTATTTATTCACATTTTACAAAACACAAAGATGCATTGGTACCACCAAATCCAAAGGAATTTGATAATGCAGCTCTTATTCTAAATGAAGGTTGTTGAGCAACCTTTGGAACATAATTAAATGAAATGAAATCTGAAGGAGGATCACCAGGATTATTTAGATTTAATGTTGGAGGAAGTACATTCTATTATTATTTAAAATAGAAAATAAGATTTAATAATAAAATTAGATAATAATAAATTTTAATAATAAAATTTTAATAATAATAAAATTAGATAGAATACATTATATATTGCTAATATAGTAAAGATTGCTTCGACAGCACCCGCTGCACCTAACAAATGACCTATTGAACCTTTGGTTGAGGATACTGCTAGTTTATTAAGTATTTTATCGCGTTGAGAAGAGTTCTCGAAAATTGATTTGATTGCACGATTTTCAGCAATATCCCCTTTTTTTTGGTTTATAAACGAAACACAAAAAAAAGATGATAAATAATATATAGCAGTAGTAGTAGTAGTAGTATAGTAATAATGTTATACTTACCTAATAACGTTGACGTGGCATGAGCGTTTATATAATCAATATCATCAGGAGATAATTGAGCATGTTTTAGTGCTCTACGCATCGCTAATTCAGCTCCGATCCCATTTTCCGGAGGAGCTGTTATATGATGTGCATCTCCTATATGTAATAAGGTAAAAATAAAGTGGTGTGTATATATAAACTAAAAAAAAAAAAAAAAAGATTACTGTATACCTGATAGTCCATAACCACTAATTTCCGCATATATACGTGCACCACGTTTTTTTGCGTGATTATATTCCTATTTATTATATTTATTATTAATAAATTAATATGGATTTATATCAACTATTATATCAATTATATTAATTATTTATTCTAAATATTTTAAAGATATTTGCTCACCTCGAGAACAATCATACCCGCACCTTCGCCTATTACAAATCCATCACGATCTTTGTCAAATGGACGTGAAGCTTCCTCCGGTTGATCATTATATTTAGTTACCAACGATTTTGCTCTTTTTTTTTAAGTTGTCCATAATAAAAATGTCTTTAAGAATGTCCAATTATATATATATTTATATAAGAGATATATATAGATATATTATAATTGTTTTATCGACGCGACATTTACTTTGAAAATCCGGCCAAAGCTAATGGTATTATACAAGCTTCTGCTCCACCAGCAATCATAACATCCGCATCACCAAATTGTATAAATCTACTTGCATCTCCAATTGAATGTGCCCCAGTTGTACATGCAGTTGATACGGCATGATTTGGACCCTATTTATTATTATTCCATTATAATTTCTTCCATTATTATTATTATTATTCCATTATTATAAATTAAAATTAATTTACTTACACGAAATCCATATTTCATGGTTAAATGACCCGCCGGCATATTAATTAATATTTTTGGTACAAACATCGGACTCACCTTTTTGAAACCCTAAAATTTATAAATCGAATTTTTTACATACAAGAAAGATAAATTAAGCTCAAATATTAATGAAATGTTAAAAATAATTTATTATTATAATTATTAAAATTATTATTATTATAATTACTCGAGAATAAAATTCATTTGACGTAGAAACAATATCTTCAATATTTCCTATTCCGGATCCAATACACACTCCCTAAATCACATGAATTACGCGAATTAATATTTTTTTGTTTGATAATATTTCATATATTTCATATTTTTCACATATTTCATACGTACAGTTTGATTTTTTTCGTAATCTGATGTTGGATACCATTCAGCATCCATTATTGCTTGTTTTGCTGCACATATAGCATATTGAGTTACTAATGACATTTTCCTTTCATCCTAAATATCCGCATGTAATATATATTATTTTATTGATATTCTATCGATATATTATATGAATAATAATAATAATTACCCCACGATCCAACCATTCTTTAGGGTCAAATCCACAAACTTCATATTTTCCAGGTTTCACTGTTCCTGCGACAGTTGAAGGTAATTCATTAAATACACCTTTCTCTTTTTCATTATATGGTAAATTACTGAATGTTTGATTATTGGTTATTTGAGTTATTTGCTCTTTTTGTTCAATTTGTTCAATTTTTTGTTGATTTTTTTCATTTTTTTCATTTTTTTCATTTTTGTTGGTTTCGTTTGATAAAGAAATTATACCACTTGCACCCTCTATTAATTTTTGCCAGGAAGATTTTACTCCAGTTGATAAAGGTGTCACTAAACCTAAACCTGTAATCACTACTCTGCGTAAAGACATTTTTTTATAACCTATTTTATTCCCGAGCCATATTGTCATTGCCATGAACGAATTGGTTTTAGGGTTTTTATCCAATCAAAAATTGCTACTTGATCTAGATCCTCAATTGTGATTGGCCTGTTTTAAAACTTTTATATACATAATAATTGTAATTGCGATGCACCCTCGAGGAAATTTTTATAAGTTCAATATATGCTTGAGTCAAGTTAGAGCATGCATTTAGAGGGTGCATGCACTTGCTCACCATCTTTACATCATTTTTAACAGATTTGGAAAATGATTCGGTAAATCGTTTGCAAAAATAATTTTTGTTTTATTGCCTAAATTTTAAATGTTAATAATTAACAAAAAAAAATGAAAAATAAAATTCTAATTATAAATATACACTAATATAAAATATATAATATTATAAATACACCTTATGTAAAGGTATTAAAAAACTTAATATTTCAAAATGATATTATTCAATTGAGATCTTATCATTGGTTATTTCAATTCATCTTTTTTGAACAGCAGTTTTTCAATATCAATATTTTTAATATTTTTAATTTCGTTGTCATAAATTATATAATTCACTTTTAATCCTTTACACATATATTCAGCAATATTATTTTGTACGGGTGTAAACCTTTTATGATACCATTCTACTTGGTCTCCAATATTATAGGTGCTATGGATTTGTTCAAAAAGTTGTTTATAAAAATTTACTATTTCTGTTATCACACGATGAACTTTAATTTCAAGGCCAAAAATTTCAAATTTTTCTTTGTAATTTTTGAAATATTCTTACCATCTGGCTCTTCTGTTTCCTTCAGTCCCACACAAGTTTTATGCCTCCCAGCGTTCTGATAATTAATTACAAATCCAAAAATCAATAAAATACTTATAATGAAAGCAAATAAAATTTTTACTAACCGAAAATGCCGCGGATATGTACAATCCCATTCATTTTAAAGTAATTCATATTTACATCACCCTAAAAAAATAATATAAATGTTACAAATGAAAACTCTCTTTATTGTTAAAAAAAAAATAAAAATTTAAAACACAACTCATCAACTTCATTGAAATTTCTTTTAAAATATCATTTTTTGTGCTATTACTTCTCTCTTTTTTCAATTTCATATTTTACTGAAATTCCTTTATTTTCTTTTAACAATTCTAAACATTTTTCGTTCTTTTCTTTTAACAATTGTAAAAATTTTTCGTTCCTTTCTTTTAACAATTCTAAAAATTCTAAAAATTTTTCGTTCTTTTCTTTTTCAAATTTGCGAATTGATTTGAATGCTGAATGCTTTTTTTTATTCACATATGTTTCCAAGACCTTGTCTATCTCTTGGTCGGTATATTCAGTAGTGGAAGCGGAATTCAACTTGTTAGAAACTTTGTCATTAAAAATAATGGTAGAAGAGAAATAAGACAAAAGAGAGGGCAAGTAAGTTTTATTTAGCACAAGGGAATAGTGAAGATGATGATACATTGTAAGATTTGGAACTAGAAAATTCAAAATTCTACTAATATACGGAAAAATTCGTCTGAGAAGTCGCGAATTTCAGGTGAAATATACTAACGATATGGAAGATATTCATGCGATTACGAAAAACTATGAACTAAAAAATTTAACAATAATAATTAAGTATAACCCTAGATGATTATGTATAACAATAGGATAATGTGAATATGATCTGCAGTATATTAAAAATAACATAGCGATTATCTTAAAATGTTAGAGAAACGTCTAATAGTCAATATTTTACATTGAGAGGCCACATTTTAATATACACTCACTGGTAAAAAGTATAGAGACACCTGACAATTTTTAAAAATAAATCATTTTAGTTATTCTATATAA